AACCTTGGACATCTCACTCCTGGGTGGATTACTTTAATACCTTACTTGGAGAAGTCCTTGAGTTATCCACCCTTTTTGTGTATTCCCCCTCCCTTCTTCTGACAACCAAATAAACACGGGCCACCAGAGAATGTCTTGGTCTTAGCCCTGAGAGAATCTCAAATTCTGTGAGAGGGCTTTGATCCTCCTGGAGCCCTGAAATCATTCCGTTCACCTCTCTTTATTTAGCCTTTGCCATACACTCATTCGGGAGATTGCGGAACTGATCAGCCAGCAGTAAATAAGGGATATTATTAACCCCATAGTTGTCCATGTTGTTTATCTAGGACAGGACTGCCAAGCTTTTCCTGTGTAGGATCAGATAGTGAATGTATGAGATTCCTCAGACCAGAGCACACTTGTCCAACTCTACAGTTCAGCCGTCGTGCTGTGGAAGTGGTTATCTTCCCATAAAACAGGAGTTAGATTGAGAAGAACAGCAAGAATGACGATGGGGAGAGGGGAACTAGAGGAAGAGGGAGGGAAAGGGGTTAGCAACAAGGAACAAGGTGTATTATGTACATGTACCCACACTCCAAGATGATTGGAAATTGTGTGTACTGCAAACATGGACTGATAATCACAATAACATTGTTTGCAATGGCAGGCAGTGGGTAAGACCTTGGTCCATAGGTCACAGTTTGCTGATATCTGATCTAAGAGCTTCTTGGAATAAGTATGCTACTGTGGACTATGACAACAAAATTTTGTACCAGAAAAAAAGTCAGTTGGCTGTAGACAAGAAGCTGTCATGCCATGACTTGAACCTCTATGACTTGGTCTCCAGAACTACACCTGTCCCAGAAGAACTCTCTGTCCTCAAACAGGGAGTTTGAAAGAGCAATTAAGAGAACCTCAAGGGTGTCATTTTAAAACACAACTTTTAAAAGAGGTATGTTCTCCAGAAAAAAAAAAAATTCCATATGTCCATGTTTACACATCTTTTCATTTTATATTGTATCTAAAAATCTAAAATATCTATGCTTACATAGCTGTCCTTTTGCATCCATAGGGAACTGGTTCCAAGACCCTCCTGGAAACCAAGACCCAAGGATGCTCAAGTCCTTTATGTAGAATGGCACAGAATTTGCATAGAACCTGTGCACATCCTCCTTTAAATCATCTCTAGATTACTTTTAATACCGAATATAATGCAACCATTATATAACTAATTGCTATACTATATTGTTTAGGGAATAATATAAAAGTTTGTACATAATCAGTACAGACACAGTTTTTTTTCCCCTGAATATTTTCCATCCAGGGTTGGATGAACCACAAATGCAGAACCTGTAGTTATGGAGCGAATTGTATCTAATATGCTGTGCAACTATAAAGGAACTGTTTCAAACTATATTTTTAGTAGCTACTTCCACAAATAACATGGCTGGGTCCCTTTTTGTCCTTTGCTAGGCTCCAAGTGACCCAAGTTTTGCAGATGCACCATATTTCTGTGTGGGATTCAGGGCTGGTCTACTCCAGGTGAGTATGTCCCGCAGGGACAGATCCTGGGAGTTTGTGCCCCTCACACTTTCCCCAGCCATAGTGGTTGTTGGCTAAGTTGTTTGATCAAGGCAAAGAGATGGTAATCAGAGCCCGGGTCACAGAAGGAAGGGCTGAAATCTCATAAATCTATCAAACTGCCAGGTGAGGTAGATGGGCAGGAGAGGGCTAGTAAACTCAAAAACAGCTGGAACCAGACATAAAACACAAAGAAGACAGTTTGATGGCAAATTCTGTGAACCTTGAATTTCCATTCGTTGGGACGTCCCTTGTCAAAGGGAGGCTCCCCCTTTTTGGGCCTGGAGGAAGGTTCTACAGTGATTAAATCCTATGGTTTAGGTAGTGACCCAGTCTAGGAAGCTATAGGGTCCTGGGGGCTTGATTCACACTGGGGCCCATAGCATAGAGCGGACCAGCCAGAATGAAGGGCAGGAAACTGGTTATCAAACTGGTTCTAAGCATAGAAACCCCTTGAATTGTTTGCTAGTGGCATTTTCCACATGAGTCAGGGGCTAAGGTATTCGTGGAGGAAGTCAAGGTTGAAGGCCAGGGCTCTGAAGTTGAGGTGCCAGGGTTCAAACCTCAGCTCCAACCCTTGTGGGCTGTGTGACAATGCTGTGTGAACTAACCTCATCTTTTCAAAATCATCTGCTCTGTAAAATCATCTACTCTTCCTTCCAAACTGCTGTGCACTACTCCTGCCCTCTGTTCCCCTCCCCCAATATTTTTCTCTGGCTGCTGCAAATTGCCGGACGGAATCGTATGAATTTGAAATGACTTTTAAAAACTGACATTGCTGTGCTCAAGCCAAATACTTCATAAGCTGTGTCAGTGAAAGGTCTCCCCACCAGTTAGTCTGAAGAAGTTTTTGCTGTCATATCTGTCCTGTTAATTTGAGCAGAAACTGTAATTAGATATAAGTGGTTCTGTTCCCACAGAAATGAATGGCAGCATCTGTAGAGAGACAACCGTTCCAAAGCCTTTTGGCTACCAGCGCTCCACAAGTCAGCAGTATGGAGCGAGGCCCAGATCCAGACTTCTGTCGGCCTCATTTCATATGTGGACACACAACACTAAATCCAATATTTCTAATGCCTTGCTGGGATGGGTGCACAGCCAACCGCATTCCAGACTTTTATGCTGGTGACCCCTCCTGAGAAGGACACACTAAATGTGTGTGTGTGTGTGTGTGTGTGTGTGTGTGTGTGTGTGGCACTTTTCTTTCTTTAATCACTTAGCCAAACAGGAAAAATAAACACAGTATTGATGAAGAGCTATGTGCAAAATCAGAAAATCAGACAAAAATAGAATGTTGTATTTACAACCAAGCAATGGAATCACAAAAATATATTAATAAAGATTTTTTGTTGTTGTTCTTCTGTCAACATCTCTGATAAAGGAATGTACTGCTTCTGTCCCAGTGTGGCTGATGACACAGCCATGTGTAAGGCCTCCTGGGTGTGAGGAGGGGGAGGCATGTCTTTGCTAGGCAGGGTTCTTTCCAAGCAGTTAAGAAAATCCACTTGAGACAGTCTGGACTGTACTAAAGCTTCAACAATGCAATGAAACCAGGTGTGCTTGAATATCTATCCCTTATCTACTGACGTTACACTAGACACTGTGGATGTATAATAGATAACATGGTTCCTCTTCTCAGTGAACTTGCAGTTTGGCTAAGGATTGAAATATAAAAGTTCAAGTAAAAACATACTGTTCTCATAGAACTGAGAACAACAGAACAAACTATTTCATGATGGGATAAGCATGCTCTGAAAAATTCACTCACTTAAGACTTGGTGTCATATTATAAGATATGTGCGGGCTAAGGTTGCCCAGCTAGCCACTGGGGCTTCCAGAGTCTGTGCCATCTAAATCCATCCTGGTCCTGGCCACAGTATGGTGTCACCTGGGGGCAGTTGTTCGTTCCGGATTAAAAATACATGAGAGGATTCTCGGGCCTGTGGGTGGGACATCTAAGATAGACGTGGTAGATCCAGGAATCTCCCAGATGGCTGGCACCCATTTCATTAGTTTAAACCAGGGACACTGGGACTGGGAATAGCCCTTGGCTTTCCTGCCTTTGGATGGGATTACTTCTACCATAGCTCCAGCCACCTTCAACTGCACCCATGTCCCACATCTTTGAGAACCACACTTGCAAGAAATGTCAACAAATCATTAATTCTGTCATATCCAAATTTTATTTTTTTTTTAACTTTACACACTCCCCTTGGACAGGGATTGTTCAGTATAGGTTGTAGTGGCAAATGTTCCTCAGAAGGTATCAGGTTTAGGCCTTAATGGAAATATGAATTGTAGTTGTCCTAAGGATAGTGACATTATTTCAGGAAAAACAAACTTTGTAATACCAAGCAGAGAATATTCTGCTACCTAATTTTGTAGTTTATTTAACAATCATGTACTTGATTTAGCAAGTATGTGACCAAAATAAGATAATTTGGTGAACTTTGGAATCATTTAGGGCAGCAGAAAGAGACATGAATCTATATGGGTACCTGATAGTGTTTTCTGGTTTTGAATTATTTAATGGCTCAGAAGCACTTTGGACAGTTAAGGGAAAGCCTTTTGTCATAGGTAGACATTTAGTCTATCCCCACATGACTTAAGATGTCATCAACTGGGACATATTTAAGTGTGAAGATGAGAGAGAGAGAGAGACAGAGACAGAGGCAGAGATAGACAGAGACAGAGAGAGAAAATAAATGGAATAAATATTTAGCAAAGAACTAACTTACCTCAAATTTTCTAATTTAAAAAATGGCTAGCCCTTTCCTATAAACACAGAAGCTTTGCTTGGAATTTTGATTGTAGTTAAGTCTCAATCAGGCAGACTATAGATACTGCAGGGATCAAGATGGGAAATCTAAGTTCATAGCAATTGTGCAGCTCACTTCTAGTACAGGCTCACCTTCTGGTTGATTCACTTGTTATTACCTCTTCCCATGGTGCTTTGCCTATTCCTCCCTATGGGTAATGCTTTGCTTTTCGCGTGTAGTGCATTTTAATCTTTAAAGTGCCATGCAGGCAGGAATTAATCTCTGGTGGAATTTTTTCATTTTGTCGATGGAGGAGATAGCAGAGGAGATGTAGATAGATTGTTTGGGACTCTAAAGTGGAATGTTTTCAGATCTGGGATTTGGTGCACAGCCCTAGCCCTAGAAATCCTGAAACAACATTAACATTTTCATTTGCTTCTATATTATAGGTTCTCTTAAGCCAACTCTTTTCTAAGTTGACGGGCAAGTGCTTTGTCACTGAGCTTCACTTCCAGCCTCCTCTTAAGCAAATTCTGTTAGTGTTTCTATGGGGACTGGGTAAGGGATAAGTGATAACAAATGCATAGAGTTCAAATGTATTTTCACTTGGCCCAAATAAAGGAAATCAACAATACCCAAATAAGAATACTGCTGGCAGCATCAGATACAGTAGAGCTGGGGAACTCATCTCACCTCTGAGAGGTACAGTGCTTTATTTCTACAGACAGAAACAAAGACAACAATATGTACTGGCCTATAAACACTGCCACAGGCCTGGAGCTGAGATAGGTACTGGTAATGGTCACTAAGCTTCCCAAACATTCCATAACTTAGGAAAACGAGATTGGCAGGAACAGCAGGACTAGCCATAGTTCATTTAACAAGCAGCAAGAGCGTGCAGTCTTGGGACCCAAGTCCAGTGCTCTTTGTGTCGAATCACACTTGTCTCATGAGAGAGGGTGAAGCCAGCTGACCTTGCAGGTCCCCAGCAGCTCTTCTATCACATGAGCCTGTGACATCGGAGGGGGGCCTTCCAGCGAGTGTGAATGCAAGCTCTGGCTGGACTCCAGGGAGGGATCCTTGCAGGAGAGGCTCGCTGAGTCCAGATCAAGGTGGTTCTCAATCTTGACTTTACATCAGCATCACTTCACGTTTAAAAAACTCGAGAGGATACAATTAGCCCCTGGACACACTTAACTATGGGAGAGGTGCCTACATCCATCTTTCTAAATCTTCCTTGGGGATTCCAGTGCAGGGATGGTGGATCACGGTGTTTTTAGGCTTAGGAATTCCTGCTCGTGAAGTTCTGTCTGGGAGGTGCTGCTTTGATACACTCCTCCTTCTCTTTCCTGCACCTCAGCCCCCTTTGCTCTTGCAAGCTAATGGGAAGGACAGCCACCTTGAGCTCACTCACTCCTCCTTGCTGTTTACAACAGAGCATGATTGCTAGACGGGTGGAGACGAAAGAAAATTAATAACAACAGGCATGGACAACAAACATTGGCAACAGGTTCATTCCTGACAAAGACTTAGCGGTGCATAACCATGACATGCCAAAACGTTAGCAAGGAGCCTCCTCACGCATGACTTGCTGGGGTAGCTTTGCCAGCAGACATCAACGAGCTCTTGGGAGTAGCATCGACCAAAAGCAGCTCCCCAAACAGGGGATGTTGGGGCTTTATTTTGGGGGCAGAAACAAAAGGGATGTGCAATGTCAGAGCATTCCCATGTTCAAAATGACCCAACGCCATATGGGATTCTATCAGCTAGAAAATAGTTGATTAAAATTTCAACCCTCTCCACTGACCAAAAAGGAGTTTATCCCTAAATCTGGCATAGTCAAACCATGGCTCCTTCTAGAGTTGGATTATATCCTCATGAAAAATGCTGAATTCTTGTTCAGCACCAGCCCTCTTGTTTTGGAATCTGATCTTAAGCTCTTTGACAAAAAGAAATCTATACTTCTCATAAACATGAAGGAATTATAAAAAATATCTGGATGACATTATGTTTAAAATATAAATGCATTTCAAGACTAGAAGAAGAAAAACAGGACTGGGTATTATTTAATAAATTATTTCCTGGGTCTACCTAAATTACACGTGTAAAAAGTCATTTTAAATTGAGTCGGTCTTTTTCTGATGACCGATTAACTAGCCATTAACTAGGTGAAAGAGGGGTAGTAAATGTGGAAATCTGTTTCTAAGTTTAGGACCTGTTCCCCAACTTTGACATAGAGGGAAAAAAGTGCTTTTTCACATTTCCCAACATTCTGAGCTTCAATTATTGGTGAGCAACAAGATAGAAATACTTTAAATAATTTAAACTTTTTTATTATGAACTACACACATACATCAGAAAAATGTAAAAGTAAAAAAAAAAAAATCAGCTCATAAAGAATGTTGGGGAATCCATCCATATGCCATATCCACAATGCTGTAAATTCGCCTAGAAAAAATTCAGATGGGACAACCATCATTGTGAAATTCCATCTTTCCTCTTGGAAAGTAAGAAAGAGACATGTCAAACAAGTCCTGAGCAATTCTTAAGAGGAAGAAAGCACAAGGGAGTGTCCACAGGAAACGCTGAGTCCGTCCCACCTGGGTACATGCTGTCGGCGCACACGTTTCTTGGAGGATCATCTCCTGAGGAACAGCAAGTGGGACCTGACCACACCCGTCATCACACAACTGAAACACAAAAGGAAGCCTCAGGTACCCGGTCCCCATGTGAAGCATAATTTCAGACACAGCAACCACAGAAATAAAAGAATTCTAATTTTTACCTGTGTCACTTATAGGACATTTCAGGGGTGTATTCCATATTCCACAGTCCAAAAATCTCTCTCCAGTCTCACCTCTTGCACACTGCAGGGGTTCCAACACACCACCCTCCCCAAGAAATAAGCTTCACACATCGGGCGGTTTCTCCTCTTTTGGTCCTTCCTCCCTGCTCCTCTGTTCTACATTGTGTAGATCAATTAACTAGCTCAGCCTTTGCTTTTAAAACTCCCTTCAGCTTTACCCACCGCTTAGCTTTCTAACAACAAAGGCGAGTGATGGAAGCAAGATTCCTGCTAGTTTTCCTCTTCCTTTCAGGTCTTTTTTCTATGTACTCATTTCTTGAATTCTGTCTTACAAAGAACCCAAACTGGTTTGGCAAAGCCAAAATATGTTTAGGGAATGAGTGAGTGGGTGAGACGGACCACAGCCCTCTGACAGGTGAGGGGTCCCGGGTGCGGGGCTGGGTGACAGAGGAGTGGAAGCTGAGACTACTACATTAATACGGCTTAGCCCAGGCATGCTGGATTAATTTGAACTGAATTTTAAAATAAGTTGAATATGCATAGAGGTTAGGAACGCTACATTTTAACCTCCTATAATGAGCAGGGCCATCTACTAAAGGGTTAAAAGTATTGTAAGACTGCCCTGTGTGGGTCAGAGTCACAGAAAACATTTCTCTGACCCTAGAAGATTCCTGAAGACTCAAGCAGTTGAGGCTGGGGAGAGCAGGGGAAGGAATAAGAAAGGAAGGAAAAGGTTAAATTATCCCCTGGAGATGGGTGCAGTCTTCCCCAGGTTCTCCGCTGAGCTCCTCTCCTTTCCTCCCCTCAAATACTCAGGACTGTATCAGTTACAGTTGGTAACACTTGGTGCTACAGACTTGGGCCCTGGGGCACGGTGCTACTGGGACGCGGTAAGGCCTTTGACAAGTGAGGTATAGTGGAAGCACATTGGGGTGTACTCTTGAGGGGAGGCTGGGAGCTCCCCCATCTCTTTGCTTCCCAGCTTCCATGAGTTGAATAGGCCTCCTCTCCTGCGGTGACTTATGGTGCTGCTACAGGCCTAGAGCAATAGGGCCAAGCACTGTGGCTCTAACATCTCTGAAATCACGAGCTAAAATAAACCTTTCTTATAAAATATCTCAGGCATTTTGTAACAGTGATAGAAATCTAACACAATATTTGAATTGGCTCATGTAAGATTGAAACTTGGCACGCCAGTCCAACTGGGGCTAAGAAAAGAGTCAGTAGTGTGTGACCAGTGGCTATGGCCACCTGGCAGTGACTGTGGGGAGGAGGGAAAGGTGACCAGTCAAGCCATAGATCTGAGGAGAAGCAGACAGAGTGCTGGGTCCCTTTTGGAAAGTATTAGGTGATGTAAGAGAAACAGTGTAGCCTACGTATATGATGTAAGGAAACTAAGGTGAGGTCACCTCAGCCCACAGCTAGCTGAGAGAAAGGAATGTGATTTTCAGAGAACAGTGATAGAAAGATCTTAGAGAATCTATTTAATAAAATTTACTCTAGCAGCCCATAGTGTGAATTGGGTATTCTGAAATAAAGCCTGTATTTCTGAAGTCTAGATTAAGAGCCACTCCGGGATTGCCCCCAGGAGAAATGCTTAACTCTGATTCCATCTAGCAGAGTGGCTATTCATGCTGCCATTCTACTCTGGGATTGCTCCACACATGGTGTCTTCACAGGGACAGCTCAGCTGCACAAGTCAGGGATGCCACGTTCATCCTCCCACTGTTCCTTCCGTATGGAACTGACGCTGAATGTGTCGTTCCTTCAGGTTCATAACTGATTACAGGCACTCATCCTTGCCAGACTTTATGAAAGGACAGTGGACAAGCCGCCTGGGTTAGTCAGCTTTGCAGTTGCCGGGATATAGTATCCAACACCCACAACTTAAGGAGGAATGATTCTGGCCCTTGGTTCACAGGATTCAGTCCGTGATTAGCCAGCTGCGAGGCAGAAACATCATAGCAGAAGGCCCTGGTGGAGCATCGCCACTTCCTGGCAACCAGGAAGCAGAGAGACAAGGGAGGTAGAGGGAGGCGATCTATCTCCAAAGCTCACCGAGGTGAGGCCTCCTCCGTGAGGCCCTGCCTCCTAACAGCACATTCAGCCATGAGCTCATCAATGGCTCTGCATCTTGATACATACAGTGCCCCGGAAAACCTCCCCAGACTCCTCCTCTGAACTCACAAGACTTTCTAGCTCTAAACCACTTCCCTCTCCTGTGCTCCTCTTCTTGTCAGCGGGATCACCAGATTGATAGTCATTTTTATCCTTAATGCATCCATTTCCTTTGTTCCCCGTGTTACTGTCTCTGGGATCCAGGACTGCCCATGTCATTTGAAGGACCCAAGAGTAAAATAGGGGTCCATAAACTTTATAAGTGAAAGATTTTAAAATGATAAAAATTCAACCTTACAAACTCTGAATAAATTAAAATCCTTTTGCCTTAAAAAATAATGCCTTTGTAATAAACTACAGGAAAATATGGGTAAAGCTATGGCTTAAATAAGACTGCAATTTGGCACAATGCCAGAGACAACTAAATTTAATTATAATTGCACATGTTTGGGCATTCTGTTGATTGGTGCTGTTTGGATAAGTGATAAAATAAAGGCATACATATTTCACAAGTTATTATGTGTGTGTTTAATAAAACTTCTTGCCTCTTCAGCAAAATCAGTTATGTTGTTATAATCAGGATTCTCACACAATTTGTACTCTATTAACAGCAACTATCTAAATGGTTAGAAAATAAAATGTAATTGTATCAAAAATGCTTCAGGTTGAAGGTCCTTCTAGAAAACAACCCAAAACTCCTCAAAACACAAATTTGAATGTATTTTCAGCAAAAATGTAATTTGAAGTAAAAATACACATAATGACAACTTTTATAAAATATGAAAATTATTTTTCAGTGTATTTTCACAAGGGTTCTTTTCCTCTAAAATATTTAAATATATTAATAAAGTTAAAAGTTAAAATGCAAATAATATTAAATATCAACATTTTAAGGCAAAATTATTTAGACAAAGCTGACATATTAATTCAATTTTAAAAACTTTTTCTAAACATTTCATTAAAATCTTGTAGAAAATGAAACCATACAAAGGTCTTTATAGATGTTATATATGATTCTCAATTATGAGTAATATGAATTATTTACTATTACAAATATTCCTCACTCCACTAACTTATGAAGAGGCTAAAATCATGGATAGAAACACAGAAAAGAAGCAAAAGAGCAAGTGTAAGTTCTTGAGTTCGATTCCTGGTACCAAAAAAAAAAAAAAAGAAGAGAATAGATGTTGTTTTGGGGGAACAGTTAGAATAGTTTTGGGGGAAAACATTTTGTAACATAAGCATCTGCTTCTTCAGTGCAGAGAAAAAGGCTCTTTTAAGTTCCTGTCATTTGCTTGTTTGTTTGTTGTCTGTGCTCAGACTTGAACTCAGGGCCTGGAGCACGCTAGGCCAGTACCCTGTCACCGAGCTGCATTCCCACTATTTTTTCTTTTTTTTAAATTTTGAGACAGGCTCTTGCCAAATTGCTTAGACTGGACTCAAACTTGTACTCTTTGCCTCAGCCTTCAGAGGGGTCTGAGCCCCCGGTGTGCACTGTGTCTTCCCTTGAACACAAGTGCCACTGCTGTCTGTGCCCTCCTGTGCCCTGTTGGGCCACGTCTGGGCACTACTATGCGGTTTCCAGCCCGGGACAGGAGCAGTGCCAAGCATCTCCCCGGGGTCTGGGAGAAGTTCGTCAGGGGAGTGGGTGGGTGGAACCAAAGGCCAAGTTGGGCCACATAAGACACTGGTGTAGGGAGACGAACCTGTGTGCTTCGATGAAATGCCATTGGGTTACGTTTGTGAAGTCTGGAGTCTTCTAAAATCTTGCCGTCCTGAGAAGGAGCCCGCTTGCTCGGGTCTAAGGGTTGCACTGTTCTGTTTTTCTTCTGAGTCTTTTTTTTAAGCACTTAAAAAATTACTAATCAACTTAAAAATTTATATTAACATGTAATACTGTTCTGAACTGTCTCTTCCTTTGCATTTCCCATATCTCTACTTTGGCCTTCTCACTCTTATTTTATGCCACGATATTAAAATATCTCTAACTATGCAGGGTTTTTTCTCCTGCCAATGCACCTGAGTGGCCTAGAAGCTTAATTTTCTGAATATTCTGTGTCCTGCCATGTCGTTTCTTTGCCTTAGAACAGAAGAGTAGTTATCTGCTGCTGAAATCAATATAACTTTTTTTTTTTTTTTTTTTGAGATATGGTCTTGCTATTTTGTTCACCCAGGCTTCAAATTCCTGGGCCAAGTGGATCCTCTTGCCTCAGCCTCCTGAGTACTTGTGACTGTGGGTTCAAGACACCATCCATGCCTACCCATTAGTTAATTTTTAATCAGCTGGGATCAAGTCCTGAATTAGAGCTGCAATGTAAGGACTTCCACTAAGAAAGTTGTATCACCTCACCTCACCACTGTAATTTCCTGATTAATTACTTTGCTTAGCCAAGTTCTCCTGGAACCCTCAAGCCACCATCCTCCTCCCTCCCTGAGTGGCTATGTTCAGATGTGCCCCGCTCCCTAGCCCCCCCAGTCCCTGCGGGACAGCCTTGGCACACTTGACTTGGGTTTTCCTAGAGAGGTTGTACTTTGTCTTCCATGGCTTTAGTTGATGAAGATAGCGTAATTTTATTTTTCACAGTTCTTTTAAAAAGATATTTTAATAACACAAGTCTTTAAAAATTTCAAATTTAATGAAGTAAAATGTGAAACTGTCTTTTTCACTTCTGCTCTGCCTTGGACAGGCCTTTCAATCATCTGCTTTACTGCTTCAAAAACTTTTTCTCTATCCAATGCCTGCAGACATTTTTGTTTCTTATGTATGGAAAGGTGATTATCCTGAATATTCTCTTTTGTGACTTGCTTTGTTTATATAACTACACATCGTGGGCATCTTTCCACGTCAGTGTATCAGGATCCTTCATTCCTTTTTGTCCCCTCATTTCTTAAATGCTGAATAAAAATAAGCATAAAAGTTCAACAGAGCTAATAATTAAATAAATGCAAAGTAAACACAGCAGGATGTAATGAATATTGCACATGCAATCACTCAACTGTAGGTGAGGATAACAATAGCATTGTGGTGGTTCGGCAGGGTCATCAATCGGACTAGATGGACAGATGCCCAGACAGTTGGTAGAACACTCTGCTAAGTGTGAATGTGCAAGCAGCTCTGAGATGACTGGTGTGTGCGGAAGTGCCTGGGTTGGCAACCTCCTTGAGACTAGGGCAAAGCCAGTCCCAAGGACATGGACTGCCATAGGCAGACTGTAAACAAGTTGACTTCTAGCTCAGTTGCTTATCAACAGGTGTCTTGCCTTGGTGTTCTCCCCTGTTCACTACAGCACAGAGAGCTCTGAGAATGTTTTTCTTTCAGTGTTCTCAGCAAAACACTGAGACCTTGCACTATTGGACCTGTTGCACACTACCGCCGCATTTTTACAATGTATAAATAATCAGGCAGACCATGCTGGGTTGTCGCTGTCTCTCCATCAGAGAGGTCAGGTCCCACCCAGTGTCAGCTTTCCATTTAGCATGTATCTACAATTTCCTCGTAATCTCCCATTGCACCTTCTCGGGACCCCATTCCCTGCACAGGGGGTGGCACAGAAGACCTGCCCTGAACATGGGAATAGACACTGGAGGAAGCTGAGCCAGGCATGGCAATGCACACCTGTAATTCCAGCACTGGAGAGGCTGAGGTAGGAGTATTGCTGCTAGTTCAAGGCCAGCCTGGGCTATATCGTGAGTTCAAGGCCAACCTGAACTGCATAGCAAGATCCTGTCTCAAAGCAAACACACACATAAACAACCCCCTTCCAGTTGAAGGAAGGCTAAAACTCAAGCACACACTCATTCCACTTTTCTTGAGCAGATGCATTTTTTCTTATTGCTTTGGCTTATGAACATCACACACCAGGTGGTTTGGCTTTTGAATGTGACCATGCACAAGCCTGGGTGCTTCTGGGCCTTCACTGGGACCAGGGCTGCATCACTGGACCCTCTGCTTCTGTAGCTCACTTTCTTGGACTGCACAGCTCCTGCTCCCCTGGCTTTCTGGCCTGCAGGCAGCCATGGTGGGCTGTCCCACCTCTGGCCCTGAAGCCACAGGTCCCTTGCACAGTCTTGTATCCTGGGTGCTGATCCTCCAGAGACTCTGGACTCTCTCCAGAATGGACTTCAGAGGTCCTAGTGGGGACTACAAAGGTTAAGACACTTGAAATGCTTAGAACTGTATATAGCACATAGTGCAGACCAATAAATGTTACCTATGTAATAAGAAAATTTATAATTTATAATAATATCTATAATAATCATTAACTTACCTATCCATTTCTTTGCTGACAGACATTTATGTTTCTCTAATTTTTTACTTTTTCTAAATAATGCTACAACTTATGTAGATGGTATTTTTGTTCACTAGATGATACCAATTCATCCTTTTGTAACCATATAAATGAATATGATAATTTAAAAAAGAGGGTCTCATTATAAAAGCAGTACATATTCATAGAGATTTTGGAAAATATAAGAATAATGAAAAATTAAACCCTGTAATAATTTTGCCATTCAGAAATAAAATCATTGTTAATAATTTATGTATTTCAAGGGATCATCTTACCGAGTAAATTTTTCCATACCATATTACAGAGAACTTTTCTATGACATTAAATATTTTATCATCAATTACTTCAAAAACAAAGTCAGTTACTTCACTTTTCTGATTGTTGGATGTTGAAATTATCCCTAATTTTCCACCACGTCTGTTTGTTCATGTGTGGTCAAATTTCAGTTTTACCTAAAATAGGAAGGATACACGTTTTGACGGCCTGGCGCTTCTCAGGAAAGCTCTTAGCAACCTGAGAGGGATCTCTGCTTGCAGATGTCCTCCTGGATACATCCCATGATCTCAGCTTCTACACCTTCTCCAAGGCCAGACTCATCCAGCTGCCCTCAGCCACTGGCCACACAATGGGTATTCTGCCCTTGACTACCTGGCAGGCCTCCTGCGGGAGTCTTGCTTGGCATTCCCAGCATGTTGAACAATTGTTTTTGTTTGTTCACTTTGCTGTACTGGTATGAACCCAGGGCCTTCTCACTTGGCTACATATTTCCTGCCTCAGCCTCCTAGAGTTCTGGGATCACAGTGCGCACCACCGCACCTGGCAGAGTAATAGCTGGTTTTCCACTTCACACTCTTCCTTTCAGTTCGTTATGACAGCACTTTATCCTCCTTTTGGATATGACCTCCGTGAATCACCTAACATGAATTTTAGCAAATCTAAATTCTATTTTCTGCTCTGGTAGGCACTGGCTGTGTGATTTTGGATCCATTTTTCTTTCAGGACCCTGAACAGTGAATCAGAGTCATGAATGACGGACCTTTTTGCAGTATGGAATTTAGTACAAGTTATATAAAATTACTACAAAATAATTTAGAAGATGGAAATGCATATGTAAGTGTGCTAGAATGATAATGTATGGCTTATAATCGTGCTGACCTAACTAAAAGAGAGGTTTAGCTTGTTAATAAAGCTAACTTCAGCATTTCCTTCAGCTCCGAGGAGAGAGCTAGCCCCAGTTTTATTTTATAGTAGAGCTTTAGAACAAGTTAGAATAAGTAAAAGAAGAGAGCGGACCACCAGCATTCTGGGAGGCTGAGGCAGGAGAATTGCAAGTTTGAGTCCAACCTGGACAACTTAGCAACTTAGTGGGACCTTGTCTCAAAATGAAAAATAAAGGGCTGAGGAGGTAGCTCAGTGTGAAGGACCAGGGATCAATCCACAGTGCTGTGAGAAAGCAGAAGAGTGGGACAGCAGGTAAGCTTCAAAGGACCAAGGATCTTGAAGCATGACCTAGCTATCAGGTATGTTGAGAGGTTTGGTCAAGAATTCACATACAAGAGAGTCAAGTGCAAAATACTGAGATTTCTTTAGCCACAGGCAGAGGGTTTGTGTATGTTTCTTTTTTTTTCTTGCGTTCATCCATATGCAAGCAAGTGATAACATGTACTAAGTTAAATAATGCATGGTACTCCAACCCTTCTTACTTTCTATCCTTTGGTTATTGTAATTACATGTAATTTTGTGACGGATTTTCTATTTTTTAAGAAATCGCACTTTTGTACTCGATCCAGCTAACAGGATTTTCTTACATTACTTCATAAAGAGACCATCTTTTAAACTTCTAATGTTATTTCTTATTCATTAGTACATTTGCCTGTGGGGTATGTTCATAAATGGGTTAAAGTTACAAAGTTATGCTTATAAAAGCTCATGGTAATTTGGAGTATCAGGAGGATTTATTAATTTTGAAATCTTAAAAGAGCAAAAGCTAAAATGAGATTGGATTAAGTATATTCTTGCATGCAGTTATTCTAAACACCCTTAAGGACCAAAGACTAACTTACAGAGGACATTATGCAAATGTGAATATATCTCTAAGTGCCTCCTAGGCTTGCTGATGTAATATTTTACATGGTTAGTTAAGTGCATCAAGTAAAAGGTTTGACCTTGATAGAGTATAAAGGTGCTTATTTCAAAACAACTCCGTTATTTTCCAGGCCACTGAGAACAATCAACATAAGGTGAATGAGATCAAGAATTTCATCATCAGCATCTTAGCCAAGCATCTGCTCCCCAGGAAGCCAAATGTCTTTTTTATAACACCGCACGTCTCCTTGTATGTGTGTGTCGTCTGAATACCACATGTGCTTGAATGTTCCTTGGGGCCTACACTGCTGCAATGCAAATAAATTGTCCCCAGGATAACGGATCCCAGGAATTAGCTGGGGAACTTTTAAAAGATCTAAGTCCCCAACTTTCATCGAGACTCATTTCATCAGGCCGAGAGTCATGAGCTTCTTAAATATCTTCCTCCTAGGGATCTTGTGATCTGTTTTAGGAACCACCAACAGGCCTCATAAACTGCAGTTCCATGGTCTGGTGTTATATGTTCGTACCTTTCCTTCTGACCATGTTACCGTCTCAGCAGGATGAGGGACTGGCACGCTTCCCTGGGCTTTATAGAATTCTACATTAACACGAGCAGGAGCAACATGTTAATAGAGATGTTGGATTTTGATTCTGGAAACTCAGAACAGAGGATCTGGTGTTTTTTGGTTCATCCTTCATTAATCAGTTTCTAACATAAGACCTATTTTCAGGTTTGGCTCAAAGTAGGGGACTCAAAATTTAGGGCAGAGGAGGCAGGAAAATGAGGTAACCTGCTTATTCATTATCTGACCACTTCCTCAAACGAGGTTCCCCCAAGAAGAATTTAAGTAAATCCACTAATTGATTGCTAATTACCAGTTGCTTGCTAAATTATGTAATCATTTACTTTATTTAAAAAATTAAATCAGCAAATATTTACTAAGCATTTACAGGAAACAGAGTCCTGTGCTTGCCATGGGGCAGTAGCTTAGGAACTGTAACTTATTCATTTGGAAAGGACAAGGAGAAGGCAGAACATCAGTCTGATGGGTGACTTGTGTTTAAAGAAATGGTTTTGAATGTAGGGGGCCGAGAGGGATGCAAATTCCTCATTCAGAGACAATCGCGTGCTTCCACGACTTACTAGGAAATGTTGGTTTTCCTTTTTGATCATTTTAAGTATCACTAATGCCCCAGTGGACTGAAGTGAGACAATTGGCAGGTGGAGAAAGCCGATGGTGGTGGGAGCAGGATGTAATTTCTTCCACTGTAATTCTCCCCAAGCTATGTAAACTCTCCGCAGTTAAATAAACACTTTTAAAGACAAAGATTTTACATTTTCATCCAAACACTGCTGGTAGCAACTGCTCACTTTCATTCTTTTGGAGCCTTCCCAAACAGCCAGGAGATTTGCATTTTCTCTAATAGTCTCAGCAGTCTGCTTCTTTCCAAAAACGAGAGAGAAAATGAAAACGTTGCATTTCCCTGAATGCAGAGTAAAATCACACAACTATTTTTCAGGTGGCCTGGTGGATAAATATATAGTTACTATTATTAGCAAACTTCCCAAGCATTGAGCTCCATGCACTTCCAGGAAACGCACCCCAGGAAGAGAGACCCTAAGCTGCTTCTTTACAGTAGCAGATGGGTCACTGTGCAGCCCCTTGAGGTCAGTAGGGGAAACCCTAGACCTGGGGCCAGTAGAAGTTTAGAGGAAGCACACACGCATGGAATGGGGATTTTTGTTTCTGGGGAGGGCTAAAGGCTTCTAAATCTCACAGTTGTGTGAGAAGAAATAGGTTTTTGAATAGAATGACACAAATACTTAAGTTCTCCTTAGGAAATATCAATCACTCTGAAAATGAAGACCCAAAGTGAGCAAAATGGAAAGGAAAGGAATGGAATATTGAATAGCAATGTGGATAATTGTACCGTCTAACACATCCATGAGCTTATCTACCCGGACACATCCTGGGAATATAGGAACATCTTTGTCCACAACCCCTAGCTGAGTTGATTAAATGGGATTAAGAAAAATTAAGGCAAAGCCAGCTGGAGTGAGATTTGGAGAGTAACCCTGAAGCTGAAGAACACGAGTGCCTCACAGGCAAGGGGGCTCCCAAGTCACTGCCCCTTGTATCAGGCTGTGATTCTGCGTGGACTTGTGTATGACTGGCCGGAGGTGTCCACAACTCCTGAACTCAAAGGAAATGTGGAAGCACCTCTGGGCAGACCTCATTCAGAAAGGCCCCTTGCTTAATGCCCACCCCATACCAAAGTACTTCACTCTTTGGCATACATTTTTATTTTTATTTGGTTTTTTTTTTTTTTTGGTTTTTCTCTGGTACCGGGAACCGAACTCATGACCTTGCACTTGCCAGGCAGGCGCTTTTGCCGCTGAGCTAAATCCCCAGCCCTATTTTTATTTGTTAATGGTAAAGTAATTGCTATGTTACTGGAAAACTAAGTGATGAAATCTTTGATTTAACTATGTAGGATCCAAGATTAGCTTAAGGGAGCATCCAATGGCATGATCAGTGTGTCGTCAGGGAGAGTAACAGTAAAAAATCAGTCTAGGAAAATCAGGGGCCACACAAAGGAGGAAACTTACTGACGATCACTGACAGAGGCAGACTGTACACGCTGGGTCGCTCAGAGTCAACCTGCACCGCGGGTAGGCACAGTTATGCAAAAGCACTCAGTGGGTGGCTCTGTAAGTTGAAGGATGCCAGCTGTGGAATTTGTGGCTTTGGCAAGATTGAAATCATGGCAGGTCTAAAACCTGCTGCCCAATCCAGTTCACTGGCATTAAAAAATATTTCAGCTCTCATACTGTCACATGGAGAATGAATTGCGCCCAGGCCACACTCAAAGGCATCGCCCTGAAGATCTTATACTTCAAGCGGAGGAGAGAAAACTCCAGCTGTGAAAGCACCGTGTGTCAGGGCTCAAACCCAGGGCCTTGTGCATGCCAGGATTCTAAAAATGTCTGACTCTGTCTGTTAAGTCCCTATGCCTGGAGGAGCTAATGTCAATTCATCATGGAATATTCCATTTGTACAATAAATTATGAACCTGGGAAAAAACAATCAGTACTCTTGTTTTTGGTGGTACTTTGAATTAAAACAAGAGCCTTTGCACTGAGTTACACCCCAGCCACCCTTTTAAAATTGTTTTAATTTTTTTTTAGTTTTGAGACAGAGTTTTGCTAAATTGCCAAGTTGCTCAGGCTGGGCTCAAATTGCAACCCTCCTGCCTCAGCCTCCCAGAGTGATGGGATTACAGGTGCGGTCTACCATGCCCACCTCAGCACTCTTGTTCTTAAAGATGATTCCACAGGATATAACTCAGGGTCCAGAGAAGGGCTTCTGCTGAATGCTTTGGTGGATGTCACTCTTGCACATGAAAAAGAGGCTGTTCCATCAATAAAGAATGTTCTAGAATATAAAATATAGAAAGGTCTTGTACAAACTGAATTGACATAATTTTATGTTTCAACAAACCTATTAGGTACTGAAAATATAAAAAATAATGCATAATATATAGTGTTAAAGAGCTCAGAGCCAAGGAGGGGAAAGATCAGTGTGAACAGGTGACAACCTCAAATCCAGTGGAGAAGTTCCTGAGGACCAGATGCACTGAATGTTTATATTCCTCCAACACTCATTTGTTCCAACCTTGACTCCACTAGGAGGCAGGGCCTGTGGGAGTAACTGACACAAGGGTGGAATTCTCTTGAATGGAATTAGTGCCCTTGTAAGGACAAAGCAGAGTGTTTGCTTCCTTTTTCTCTGTTTTCAATACTGTACAGCTCCACGGAGATGGGCCACCTGAGAACCAGGATAAGAACCCTCATCAGACATGGGATTAGCTAGCACCTCCACCCCCAGAACGCTGAGAAATACAGCCACACAGTCTATGTACACTTGTTGGAGCAACCTAAGCTAAGTCAGACACGATGGATACACGACAGCCTGGTGGCTGGAAGGAAGACTTGCCAAATCTCCCTTGGCGGTGGGGTTAGCAGGCACAGAGAAGAACAAAGAGCTGAGAAGTATTTCACTAAGGAAAAGACCGCAAAGACACTTGGGCAGATATGGCCATGCAAAGCCCAGAAGATTATGATAAAGAACCCCAGGCTATTTGGTCCCCAGAGCACTGGATAGAGAGGAAGGGGGAATCCTGTCTCGGGGGTCTGTTCACCGGGGCCATCTTGGTTATGGATTCTGCTTACTATGGAGTGTGATCTGACTGACATCTGTGACAGGTGACTTTGGTGCCAGAGGGGACAATGGATTGGGGTAAGGTGCACAGAAGTAGAACAATGGGAAAGAGGAACTAGGGTCTGAGCTTTTGATATAAGAACAAACTGTATCACCCAGGGTGGGAGAAGGAGAATGGTTGGTGAACTTCTGTCCATGCTATCTAGTTGAACCTGGGAATTTTTTAGTTTTTTGTTTTTCAAGTTTCAGTGTCAGGTAGCACTTCAAAACTTAAAATAGAATAAGCGTGGTGACTTGTGAAAGTTTGCAGATAACTCAGATGGGTGACCGGGTGATTTAAATGACAGCTAAGTGATTCAAATGAACTCCTGAGAAGCCCTATTGATAGTGGCCAGGTCTGCAAGTTCCTAGCATCTCAAGGCTCAGCCTTCAGGCTGCCCAAGTGACAAGAATTTATATTACACTGGTTTGTTTAGTAACCTCAAAGGCAAACCTTAAGTGTTTCCTATTACATGATTCCAAGTCAGCTCCCTTGGCATGGGTTGGTTTGGGACCAGAATGCCATTCATTCATTGTCATTCATTCATTGTGTTCCTATTATGTCAGGCATTTTTGTGATATAAGAAGTTACTATGATGGTAAGGAAAACAGACAGTGTTCTGTCCTCATGAAGCTACAGTCTGTTGTAGAGGATAGACATCAATCAAAGAACTATGAAAATATACATCTCAATTTTGCTTCTCTCCCTACCCTTTCTTCATTTGCAGCTAAAATGCTTTTTTTCTTTTTTGCTCTGATATTGGTAACTGAACTCAGGGCCTTCACCCTGAGCTCCATTTTTTAATTTTGAAACAGAATCTTGCTAAATCACTAAGTTGTCCAGACTGGGCTTGAATTTTTAATCCTCCTGCCTCAACCTTCCAGAGTGCTGTGGGATTAGAGGTGTGCACCACCACACCCAGCTCCAAACTGATCTTTTTAAAACAAATCAAATCATGTCATTCTATTTAAATCCTTCAATAGGGTTTTTTGTTTTTGTTTCTGTTTTGTAAGTACTGGGGACTCAAACCCAGAGGTGTTTTAACAATGACTCGCATCCTCGACCTTTTTTATTTTGAGACAAGGTCTCATTAAGTTTGCCAGGCTTCCTCAAACCCACAATCTTCCTGCCTCAGCCTCTGAAGTAGCCAGGATTACAGGCATGCACCCCTACACTCAACTAATGATTTTTCATCTCTCTGGGAATAAAAGTGTAGTCTTCCTTGTGGCCTTCAAGGCCCTGCAGGATCCAGCTTCAGTAGGACTCACTCCACTGCTCTACTCTTTGCCCACTTCAGTCCCTTCCCAGTCCTAGCTGTTGCTCTTTCCTTTGTGTGTGACTAGCTCCTTGTTACCCTTTTGGTCTCAGCACAAGGGTCACCTCTTCAGAGAGGCCTCTGCTGACCACACCACACAAAGGAACTTCCAACTCCACTCGGTCTGCATCATCCCCTCCATAGCTCTCCTCACAACCTGCGCTTGTCTTCTTCAGATGTTTTGTCCCCGGTGTTGGCTTCCACCCAAAAGAACAAATGCAGGAACCATACTGGTCTTACTGGCTTCGTATATGGTCTAAACAACTGCAGAGCTCTCATGACTGTGGAGTGAATCCTGAAGGCCTACCTCCAGAGCCATCACCTCCTCCTTGGGCAGAGTTGATTTCTGCCTGTAAGACATTCCACCGGAACTGCGGCGCCTTCACCGGAACTGCACTGTATCCCTACCGGAACTGCACGATTCTCCGCCGGAAGCACAGGCAGTCCCTGCCGTCATTGCCCTACACGCCTGCGTCTTTGTTGGTACGGACCCCCAGGAGATCAGCGTCTGACGTCTGGCGGTGACAGACAGGACAGAGCAGGGACTCAGTGCTTATTGGTAGAAAAAAACCAACCCCACTGCATCAGCAATTTGCACCCATACATTGTATTTTCATCCAGAAAGGGTGGGACAGAGACTTTCAGGAAGGTCCTGGATCCCTCTGGCTTCATTTGCCATATTGTTGGGGAATGGGTAGGCTGAAGGGAAACCTTGAGAATAAAGAAGATGAGAAACAATCCTGCGAAGATAGCAGCCATGTTTTCAAAGAGAAAGCTCCTGGCAGAGGAGCAAGGGACAGGTACTTGTCAGCGTTCCCTTAAATCTCTTCCGGTTCCTTGATGCATTGTGCTCTGGGGAAGGATCGGTATTGTATATGTACGGGGTGAGACGCATCATCTTCAAGTTGTAATGAATCTAAAATGAAAACAAGCATGCAGTTGGCCAACGCTGCTTTAAAATTGCACATCAAGAACACTCCCGGTGACAAACACTTTTGAGGCAAACAAACCAAACAGAAATTAAAAAATCTCGGTGGGGTATAAATATGTAATTACACTCACGCAGGGAGCATTTTATCAGGTAAACCATCCCACTTGGTTAATTGAAATGCTTCAGCACTGGGCTTTTTTGACAAAGCGACTGAATGTGCGTGTGTCGGTGTGCACACAATCTCCCTGCTCTTCCTCGCTGAGGCTAGCCGCCTCAAAGCCATTTTCCCTGCCGCAGGGAAGTTGGGTGTAGAAGCCTTTCTTTTGTTTGTTTGCTTGTTTTCATCAAGCTGACTTCACCGGGATGCCAACTGCTTTGGAATTCTAAATATTAGTTGGAAACACAGCCACTTTAAAAATTAGAACTAATATTTGACTTTCATATATCTCATTGGAAATCCATTGATAAGCAATGTTAGGACAGGTGAAAGCAGAGCTGTTCTGAGACTGTACATACTCAGTACAAAGGTCCTGAGTTCCTCATCAGGCTCTGTCACCAGGTAGACATGTGGTCTCAGGCAAGCCCAGGCAGGAAAGGCAGGGTGCTCTGCCTTTCCTCATTCCCAGGCATGGCTGGGCTGTGCCACTGGTTCCAGACTCACTGCTGCCGTTTTACCGAGTGACCTCAGGGAATGGGTTGCCGAGGTATTCTGTGATGGGAGAGACACAGGGTAATCTGGAGTTGGAGCAGAGATCCAAGTCCCAACCTTTGGATTTCATATTATAGGCACATCAGAGCGCTGTAGCTTGTAACTTCCTTTTCAGGAACTGTTGAAAAGTGGCAGAGAAGAGCCATAGATGCAGTTGGGATTCAGTGAAGTCAAGAGGACACAGCAGGTGCCACATCTGCTCTTAGGCAGCCTCTGTGAGGCTCCATGCCCTGCCCTTCAACAGTTCTCAGTGCAATACAACAGAATGGCATGAAAAGCAGAGACATGGAATGCAAGGTGAGATACATTTTTAAAGGGGCAAGCTCACAATCAGCTTTCTCCTCGGCTCCCAGATATTTCTTCTGAAGCACACTTTAGAGATGTACTACTTTTTGTGGCCATGGGTGGGGTGCATCTAATGCATGTGTTTTTTCTCTAAAGGTGACTTGCTCAGATCCCATCATAAGTGAGTTCCCCAGGGAACAGACTCAAATAGAAATGAGAATGCAGGATGTTTGCATTGGGCCGAGGGAGATGCTGGGCTGTAATACTCTCAGTCCAGGTCTCAGTGGACCCGCAGGAGCTCTGAAAGAAGGATGATCCTTCGAGTTGTCCCCAGATGGGGGTGAGACTTTAAACCACAAAGGACCACAGTCACTGGGTGTGATGCTGCCTTGTGTGAAGGAGCTTTTGGTGGTTAGGTGTCACCTGTGCTACCAGCAGCTGGAACAGTCTTCTGGTCTGGAAGCGGGAGCTGGATCAGCACATCACAGAGTTCAGCTCAGATCCTGCTCAAGCTCCACCAAATCTCAGGACACTGCCCCACTGGATCCATTCTTGAATTTATCATGTGAGCACCATGCAGGGTCTTGCATCATAGAACACCTGAAGACATTCCAGGAGAAAAAAGGCTTGGTCCTAAAAACTTCCGATTGCACAAGTCAGAGGCAGAGGTCATTCTCTTAGATGAGGCAATAAGACAATGCCTCTGGGCAGTTCCACTATGGGACACCACTGTCACCGTGTTACTTTGTTTAGACCAATGGATGAACAACTGGAGATTCCTTCCACCTGGAAAGGAGCGTAACTGAAGTAGGTGGCTCTGACTCTGAGTCCGAGTTTAGTGGGAAGAACATGCGGTTTGAGCACTCAGATTCTTTTTGTCTGCGATCTTTTACCATTATTTTGTTGAAGTAACTGTTCTTCTTCTTCTAGTTTCCCTTATGAGCTCTGAAGCCATCTTGTTTGTAGTTTTATATGTGGTAACATATCTTGCTTCAGAGCCTGCCCTCTCCCTGACAATCTACGCATTCTCCTTCTGTTGGACTACTTGGCTCCATATGCTGGGGCTGCCATTTATACCAAGTGATTATGGACAAAGTACCTTTCCCCCTGTGACACGGTTCTTTCTTATAATATGGTGATAATTGTTATGCTATAAAATAATATTGTTATTAAATATGTATAGTTTTGGTTATAATATATTAAAGGAAGTTAATATAGTGTTATATACAGCACAATTTCTAATAGGAAATAAATACCCAGTATTAGCCATTGTCAATAATATTATTCAATTTTCATAAGCATCAAGGTATCTTTGTGTGTAATTCTTTATGAGCAGTAGTTAAGGCCCTTATTTTCCTATTTTTGCTGATTTTTTTGTTATTTCCTCCTCTTGGGCTATCTCTTCCACCCCACTTTGTGGAGAATTCCCTGACCTCACCAACATACACCATCTTTCCCACCTCTGCATCTATTAGTCACCTTGTGGACTCTGGGACCAAATCCCTAACATAAATAATTTAAAGGAGGAAATGGTTTATTTGGATCACAGTTTTGGAGGGTTCAGTCTATGGATGGATGGTTCCAACACAGGAACATCATGGTAAAAGGCATGATGGAACAGAGCTGCTCAATTCATGATGACCGGGAAGCAGGGCAGAGGAACAGTGCCAGAGAGGAAGGGTTCAGAGACCAGATATTTTACTCAAGGTCACACTCCTGTGATCCCTGTGGACACACAGAAAAGTGTGTTTTACAGATCTCCCAAGCAGCTTCTGGGCCAGACAAGTTGAAAAATAAGTTTAACTAACAACATTTAATAGGATTTCTCTCCCTGATGTCAGAACTGTGTTATCTCCTGTTATTCTGCTACATGTGTGTTTTTGGTCTACATGGGGTCAAGAAATATGATCACTGTCAGGTTTAAAAAATGAGTGGCAATGAGCAGTTGAAAACCTGACATTTCTGAATGTAAAAGGACGGGTAGCTGTTTGAAACCAGTTCAAGTCCCCCAGCCCAGGTCAACTATGAATCAACTGCTGTGTTCGATGGCATCCTTTATCCTCCACCTTTTCTCCTTGGGTTCCTTGCCCCTCTCCTTCACCCTCTACACTTCCTTCATTTCTTTCTTTTGTAAATACTGGTGAGCAAATTCTCTGTGCAGAGCTCTGCAGACCCATAGGTGAACAGCATGAGTATGGCAGTAGTCCTCAAGGCATTCACAGCTCAAGAGAGAAAATGAAATCTGGCTGTTACCGTGTGGGATGAGATGTGTGTTGATGAGGTAGTTTGAGGAGCCATGGGAGCTGCACAGATGATGCACTTTCTGCTCCTTCCAGGTGGGAAGAAATTTCTCAGGAACAACTTTTGAAAATAAAGCAATGGAAAAAACTGGAGACATACTAAGCAGAGCTAAAAACATCTCCAAGATCTTCTGGAGTTTTTGTTTTCTTCTTCTTGACCTTCTTCCATAGCTTTAAATTACTTGTACCTTTGGATCATTCAACAAGTTGTTGATGGATGGCATTTGTGTGTCAGGCACCACACAGGAGAAGGGACACAGCAGTGAACAGGACTTAAGCAGTTCCCTGCCCTCGCATGGTTGATAGTTGAATAATAGATCCTGAGCTCATGCCTAGATTTGGGGATGTATAAGACAGTGTGTGATTTTTAAACATTGCACATGTATTAAGTCATTTAATACTTGTAGCTCTATGCACTAAGTACCATGTTGTCCTCATTTTATAGATGATAGCACATGCCTGGAATACTAGCATTCTGGAGGCTGAAGCAAGAGGTTTGCAAGTTTGAGTCTATCCTGACTCAAACTTAGGATTTAGCAAGACCTTGTTTCAAAATTAAAAAGTAAATAATAAAATGACAGGGATGTGACTCATTGTGAAGACCCTGGGTTTAATCAATTCACGGTACAGAAAACAGAAAGAAAAAGAAAAGAAAGAAAGAAAGAAAGAAAGAAAGAACTGAAGCACAGAGCTGTCAAGTACCTTGTTCAGGGTCCAGCGTGAACTTGGCCAAGTCACTTAGTCTTTACCATAAAATCATAAGGTAAGAACTATCATTATCATTATATTTTATAGGTGAGGAAACTGGGGCACAAGGAGAAGATGAAGTCAGTTCGTCCATCTTGAGCATTGTGCAGGTGCCTAGTGATGCTGCTGTTACTATTATTATTGAAGAAAAGGAGAGAGACCAAAAGGTTCCAGTAGCAAAGAGATGAGCAAATTTCATTCCAAGATTTTATAATTATATGATTTTTCTCAACTGTATTCTGATGAGCTGACATGGTACTAATATTTCATTACAGTTGCTGGAACTAATGATTTATTAGTCACTAAAAAGATAGTGTTGACCACTTATGTTCACAAAAAGCAAGTCTGTCCTCTCTTGCTCTTTCTCTCTCTCTTAGCTTGAGCTGTGTTAGGCAGGCATGTCTGATTAGCAGCTTGGGAAAAGGAAAAGAGGGAACTTTGATAATAGGCACAATGTATTGATTTGTCTGCTTGGGATGCTATAAAAATCACAACTAGTTGGCTTAAACAGCCGACATTATTTTCTCGCAGTTCTAGAAGTCCATGGTCAAAGCGGGGCAATGTAGCTGATGGTGTTTCTG